TTTCCCTTTGGTTCAAACCTCGCGCACGTTAGCTAACACTTTTCAAATTTCAGCAAAATGCCTGATTGCTATGGTTACCGCTGGTGGCACAGGTGAATCCTGCAGATTTTCTCAACGTCAGAGACAAAAGATTGAACATAGACAGAGGCACAACTCACCTTGACTGTCTGGACAAAAAATGTTAAGTTATGAAATGCAAGAGAAAGCCAGTAAATGACTTGTCAAGGACAGAGAAGAAAAAGACTTCCCGCATAAAATGTATCAGCCTCCATTTTGTTTGCTGTTATTTTTAGTGAAGAAAAGCATTTGCTGGCATTACTACAACTGTGAAGTTTAAGGGTTGTATATGGCTCGCAGAGGCATCTTGTTATTGTTAAAGGGCCCAAAACAGACTGAGGGGGAGGGGTGATCAGCGAGTGCCATCATGCCAATTATCAGGCGACTGCTGGGAAGCACGGCTTGTACCCGCTGGCTGACGACCATGGAAATCCTTACTTCTCCTGGCACAGAAACATTAAAAACTGCATTTAACATGTGAACTTGTGAGTCGCCCAGTGGAAGAGGTTTGGCTTGTCACCCGGGGGTTGTCACCCTCATGTTTCTCCTTTTTCAAGAGTGCTCACAAAGGGAAAAAAAAAAAAGTTGTCATTGGCCTACAGATCTGTGAAACAAAACTTCCTCTGGTAGAGGTTTTGCTTTCATTTCCTTCAAAACTTGTCACTTTCAGAGAATGGATTTGATAGCATGCAGCACTCACCAGGTGACTGAAGCCTTTGTGACCTCCTTCATTCGGGGAGTAACGGCTGGAGTTTAGTTAATCTGGACTCCAGTTGAAAGAACCAGATGTTCTCCAGTTGTTTTTTCTGGTTCCAATGTCTAGACTGAACTACAAGCTCCCCCTGCAGAAAAAATGTGAAGGCATTTCTCATGCAGTGTTACCAGATTAAAGAAAGGGTGGTTTGGAGAAATCAGCTGTGATACAATAGCTTCACATCCAGCACTGACCGTGGTCTCCAACTTCTGCTGATGGCTGTTTTGCCACTTCCAGTGGGGAGAAGAGGGGCAAGGAGGAAAATGCCCCAAAGACTTCACACATGCAGCATGTGGGGGTTGAGGGTATCTGTGAGAGGGTGAGTGTTTTTGTTGAAAAATGTTTCAAAACTGAAGAAGAAACTTCCCTGAAACACAGAGAGTATTTGTGTCTTCAAAGTCCGCCCCCCCCAAGGGAATAAGCTATTGCTGCTGCCAAACTTTGAGAGAAAACCTTGGTTGCTATTGTGTGGGTTTATTGCGTCCGTGATGGTCATCCTCAGAAACTTCCTCCTTTGATGAAACAGATGACCTGACCTAGGCTTGACTCCAGGAGCACAAAAAAAATTCCAAATAAGGATCTGCAGCCTGACGAGCTGCGGTACTCAGGAGAAGGATAAACTGACCATGTTTAGCAGCAACTTAAATTAAAGGAGGCTTTTTGACTTCATCAGCTCTCACAGCTGCCAAAGTGATACACCTCTCTGCACCTCTAGCTGTGATTAGGAAGGAGGTAAATCACAGTAAATTATATTTTCTGCTTCTGAAGATGCTGACAGGCAAGGCTTATGTTCCTCAGTATGCCAAACACCAGCGGGTAACAAGTAGGGGTTTTGGGAAAGAGCTTCTCGAGGTGGAGGAGAAGGGGCAGGAGAAAAGAAAAAAGATGCCCAGCAGGCACTGTGAGTGCTTCTTTGTTTGCAAAATTCACGTAACTCAAATGTACCTCCCCATCGGTTGGTTCAGAGGGTTGATATTCTCACATTATTTGAATTACAGCCAATAGATGGAAATCCTTTTGGCTGACAGTTGTCATTACAGAAAACTAGTATCTCGGCAATAGTTGAATAGTTTCTATTAATAGAATAGCACTACCAGATGTGACAACTGACAGGTTTTGTCAGCACATCGTTGCAAAGGCGATAAAAGGAGGTGTTATTCTGGGTTTGGTTCTAATAAGCAGTAAAACTACTAAAAAGAGCAACTCATAAAAGCACTGTTGTCCACTGAATTTGCAGTTTAAATGCAAGGATAAGTAAAGGGGTTTTAATTTCTGAAACAACAACAGAAAACTCCACGTGCATGGAAAATCAAGTAAAGATAAATAAGAACTGGTTAAAGTTCATCTGAGTTAATCTTCCCAAGGGAACAGAGAAAATATAAAGGTTCTTTGAGGCACGTAGATTGAGAGCACAGAGCACTACGTGCTTTGTTATGGCAGTGCTTTGGTCTCAAAGTGAAATCATTACTGGGCTGGAAGAAGTCTTTGACAGTGTTTGTGATGAGTGCTGCCAGCCTGCCATCGTCCTGAGTGCTCGAGGGTGAGATGAGTATCTCCGAGTAAAAGCTTTAGTCTCCAAGTATTCTGAATCTTATCTGATAGTCCTTGAACTTTCAATATGTTTACATTATTTATCACACAGTTTTATATTGTACTGAAATAACTGATGTTATGCTTCCAGACTTCTGCGTGTCATCTGTAAGCTCTTCTTTCCCAATGTGTAACTGCTCTAATTTTCAGTGTATTTTGCAGTGCACAAAAGGTGCTGAGAAATCAGATCAAGCATCTTGCAATCTTGCATTTGCTTAAAAAATTTTAGGAATGGAGGTCCCCAGGTCAGACTGACAGATGTCACCAGGGTCTGGGATTAGAGAGGCACAGTTCACCTGCCTGATTCTGCCTGTAGAATCACAGAATCATAGAACACATAATCATAGAATGGTTTGGGCTGGGAGGGACCCTTAAAGGTCATCTAGGGAATGAGCAGTGACATCTTCAACTAGATCCAGTTGCTCAGAGCCCTGTCCAACCTGACCTTGAATGTTTCCAGGGATGGGGCATCTGTCATCCCTCTGGGCAACCTGTGCCGGTGTTTCACCGCCCTCAGCATAAAAAATGTATCTAGTCTGAATCTACCCTCTTTTAGTTTAAAACCATTACCCTTTGTCCTATTGCTACATGCCCTATTAAAAAAAGTGTCCCAATTTTTCACATAGGCCTCCTTTCAGTACTGAAAAGCTGCAGTAAGGTCCCCCCAGAGCCCAGAGTCCACCCAGGCTGAACAACCCCAACTCTTTCAGTCTGTCCTCATAGCAGAGGTGCCCCAGCCCTCTGATCATCTTTGTGGCCCTCCTCTGGACCCACTCCAACAGGTCCATGTCGTTCCTGTACTGAGGGCTCCAGAGCTGGACCGTACTCCAGGTGGGGTCTCACCAGAGTGGAGTAGAGAGGCAGAATCCCCTCCCTCACCCTGCTGGCCACGCTTCTTTTGATGCAGCCCGGATAGGGTTGGCTTTCTGGGCTGTGAGCGCACATTGCTGGGTCCTGTCAGCTTTTCATCTATCAGTGCTCCCAAGTTCTTCTCGGCAGGGCTGTTCTCAATCCCTTCATCCCTCTATTGATACTGGGCGTTGCCCTAATTCAGCTGCAGGACCTTACACTTGGCCTTGTTGAACCTCCTGAAGTTCACATGGGACCACTTCTCAAGCCTGTCCAGACCCTTCTGGATGGCATCCCATCCCTCAGGCGTGTCAACACACCACTTAGATTGCTAAGAATCTCCTTGCCAAGAATACACTCAATCCCACTGTCTATGTCATTGATGAAGATATTGAACAATACTGGTCCCAGTACGGACTCCTGAGGGACACCACTTGTCCCATCTGGAGATCAGCAATCTCCATCCGGACATTGAACTCTTGACCACTACCCTCTGGTTCCCACCATCCAATTCCTCATCCACTAAACAGTCCACCCATCAAATCCATATCTCTGCAATTTATAGAGAAGGATGTTGTAGGGGATCATGTCAAAGGCCTTACAGAAGTCCAGATAGGAGACATCCATAGCTCTTCCCTTGTCCACTGAGGTAGACACTCCATCATAGAATGCCACTATATTCATCAGGCAAGACTTGCCCTTGGTGAAGCCATGCTGGCTGTCTCAAATCACTTTCCTGTCCTCCATGCACCTTAACATAGCTTCTAGGGGCATCTGTTCCATGATCTTCCCAGGCACACAGGTGGGGCTGACAGGTCGGTAGTTCCCAGGGTCCTCCTTTCCACCCTTTTAAAAAATGGGTGCAATGTCTCCCTTTTTGCAGTCACCAGAGACTTCACCTGACTGCCATGACTTTTCAAATATCATGGAGAGTGGCTTGGCAACTACATCAGCCAATTCCCTCAGGACTCTGGGATGTATGTTGTCAGGTCCCGTAGGCTTCTGTATGTTCAGGTTCCTCAGGTGGTCACGCACCTGATCCTCTGTCACAGTGGGAGCGACTTTGCTCCCCCAGTCCCTGTCTTGCTGTCCACCCACTCAAGAGATATAGGAGGAGAGGTTGCAGGTGAAGGCTGAGGCAAAAAAGCCATTGAGTACCTCAGCCTTCTCCTCGTCCATTGTTACCAGTTTGCCAGTCGCGTTCATCTCGGGGGGGTACACTTTCACTGACCGTCCTTTTCTGGTTGACATACCTGTAGAAGCCCTTCTTAGCATTCTTTGCATCCCTTTTCAAGTTCATCTCCAGCTGCGCCTTGGCCTTCCTGACCCCATCCCTATACAACTGGGCAACGTTCCTGTCCTCTTCCCAGGATACCTGTCGCTTCTTCCACTGCCTGTGCATGTTGTTCTTGCTCTTTAGTTTGACCAGCAGGTTTCACTCATCCATGCCCATCTCCCGCCTTCCTTGCCTGATTTCTTACACCTGGGGATCGAGAGCTCTTGTGCTCTATGGAAAATGTCCTTAAAGATCTGCCAGCTCTGTGCTGCTCCCTTGTCCCTGGGGGTGTTTCCCAGGGGATCCCACTGACTAACTCCTTGAACAGCTGCAAGTTTGCTTTCTTAAATTTAGGGTACAGACTTTACTTGTCACCCATCCCATACCCCTCAGGAGTGCGTAACAGGACCAGTGCATGATCACTGCAGCCCAGGCTGCCTCCAATCTTGACGTCACTGATGAGCTCACTTGCATCGGTGAGCATCAGATCCGGTATTGCATCCCCTCTGGTAGGGCTGTCTATTACCCGGCTTAAGAAGCTACCCTTGATCCTCTCCAGGAGTCTCCTGCATTGCCTACAGCTCACTGTGCTACTTTTCCAGCAGATGGTGGGACGGTTGAGGTCCCCCAGCAGGACAAGAGCCTGTGAATGCAATGCCTCCTGTAGCTGGAGTAAGAAGCCTTCGTCAATAGGCTCCCCTTGATCGGGTGAAATGTAGTAGACACCAACCACAAAGTTCCCCCTGTTTCCACGGTCTCTAGTTCTTACCTGTAAGCTTTCAACCTGCTTGTGGCTATTCTTCAGAGACAGCTCTTCACAATCTATCCTCTTGACATTGAGGGCAACCCGTCCACACCTCCTTCCTCGCCTGTCGCTTTTGAAGAGCCTGTAGCCATCGGTAGCTGCGCTCCAGTCATGGGATTCGTCCCACCAGGTTTCAGTAACGGCAACTAGGTTGTAGCTTTCTAGCAGCATGGTGGCTTCCATCTCCTCCTGTTTATTGCCCACGCTGCATGCATGGGTGTAGAGGCACTTCAGCTGGGCTGTCAGCCGTGTCACCTTCTCAGAGGAACACCTGTTAATTTCTTGGAGGTGTTTCACTGGAGTTTCCCTGTTGGCTCCTATGACCTCAGGAGTTCCTGGCTCATCTCTGTAAGATTTCAAGTGTGCTCCAGTGTAGCCAGCGTGCTGCAGGGCAAGAAGCTGAGGGCTCTCACTACCACCCCATCCCTCAAACGTGGTGTGTCATCCCATGGCTTGTCACAGGCAAGCCTGATATTGTCCCCCTCCCCATTCAGGGAGGGGGGTAATAAATAGTTTAAAGCTCTGTCAATGAGCCCCACTAGCTCATGAGCAAAGACTCTCTTGCCCCTTTGAGACAAGGGTCTATATTTAACTTGGACATGTTTAGGAGTGAGGAATTTGCTAAGGTGGTGACATTGCTGAAGTTCTGGCTTGCTCTCTCCTAATAGCTCATCACAGTTTCTTGAGATTTTGAGGTTGCTGCTAAGCTGCTGGAGGATTTCCTTTGCATTCTGGTCTGAGGATGAGCAATGCAGGTGTTCCTGGGGACTCTTCTGAGTTTAATGCCTGCTTTGTGGCCAGGGGTGACTGTGGGACAGGCTTCAAAGGGATCCTGGGGTCCCTTCTGTCATATGCTCTTTTTCAGGAAGAAGGTGGTCAAGAACAGGCAGATGAAAAAAAAAAAAACCCACAAAAGAAGAACTTGGCCTCAGAGGGACCACCCATACACAAAGAAATGGCCCAAAACAGAAAAATGAGGAAATAGAAAATACTATGCCACAGTCAATAAAAGTTCAGAGGGCTCAAACCCCTCTGATCCCTGGGGAAGGGTGACTTCCATGCTACACTTCTGATAACACCAAAATGTGGAACTGGAAGTTTGGTGGCAAGGGTCTGTTCACCTGTGAAGGTGGTGGTTATGTGACTGGAGAATAATGTGCAAAACATATCACATATCAAGCGACTTCCAACTTATTAGGCTGACCTGAACAGCATGCAAGGTTTTAGAAGTCTTGAAGAAAAGAATACTAAAAGGAAGGATGGAAAGTGAGACAAAAGGCAACATGGGTTTGGCAAACCTAGAACGTGCAGGACCGACTTGACCCTGGTTCTGCTAAATGAATTCCCAGGTCTAAACTGTCAAAGGTGTACATTTCTGTAAGCTGGCTCCATTGCTTCTGAAATGACTGTGGAGCAGTGGCCACTTGCAGGGCTAAATGCATGATGGGAAGAGGCATTCAGGGTCCTTCAGGAGCCAACTGAATCTTACCACAGGTTGCAGCTGGGCAAACTTAATTCTAGGGACAAACCTGGCAGCTCAAACCTAGGTAGACTCAAAAAAAGCATTGCATACAATGTCACATGGGAACTCTTGGTGAAGCTAGAGGAGACTGGGGTTGATGAAAGGACTATGAGGCGACATAACAGAAATGGGCTGAGAAATATGAGAAGCCCATGAAGGCAGGGACTGATAATGGGAAGTTCTTAAAGCTAGGGAAAAAGTGATGCTAGAAAGGCCGCGTGTTAGAGCCGATGCAAAGAAACTATGCTGGAAACGGACAGCACTTCTTATCAGCAGAAATTTAGGTCTTGTCCAGTTTAGAAGAACAAAGTTTAGTGGAGATGGCAATGTTATCCAAGCGTCAGGAGCCGCTAAAGAGACTTCATCATGATAAACAACACTGTGGTGCAAGAGCAAGTATTTCTAGATTGGCCATAAATCACAGGCAGCAACTGAGAACTTAGTTTTAAGTATCAGAGAACTCAGGTCCTGAAAATAATCCTCCAGTGTCGACACTCCTGATTTAAAAGAGGAGTTTGGGGGATTATCCCGCAACCCCCAGGGAGGGCTCAGGCCCTCTGTGCATGTTCCGTCAAGCTCTAGGGAATACTGCCAGCCTCATTAGCCGCATTGCACATGTTCACAGGCCCCCATCCAGAGTTTTCTCTAGACAGGAGGAAATGAGAGCCTAAGAGCAGAAAAGGAGGAAGATGACATGTCTGGAGGAAATCCCATGAGCAGCCTGACCTCCTCCGCTGCCACTGCACTGCCTCCTCCCTCCCTGCTGCTGCCCAGAAACCGGGAAACTGACTCCCGTGCTTGAAGTCCCAGCTGCCTTCTCAAGTCTGTTCTAGTCACTCCCCAAACACTCCCATTCTCCTACTCGCCTTCTTGTCTCCATCCATCAACTTGCTAATCTCTTCCAGGAAGATTGATAAACCGCCCTCCCCACCTCTGCCCTTGGGTCTCCGCTCTCTCCCATCACATGCCCAGAAACACAACTTCCTTTCCCATAAGGCCCTTTTATCTCCATCATGTGCTCGCAAGCTCGTGTCATCCCTTCCAGTCCCATTATCTCATTCCCCCAACTCAGTTTTCTGACAGTGTCACAGCCCCGAGTTGGCGACAGCTTTAGAAGGGAATTTCCCAAAGATCAAAAAGTCACTTTAATCCAAAATCCAGGCATTCTTTCTTTCTTTCTCCCTCTCTTTTCTTAGAAAATTATCTTTTCCAAAAAAGGCTAGAAATAAAAGGATTGTTAACAACTCTCTACCATCCACTAAATCTCAGCAGGGTGGCTTCTTTTCTCTCTCAGGTTTGCTCTGAGTAACGCTGACTTCCCAAGTTGGATCACCCTCTTGAACTTCCCCTTTTGGGTCCCTACAAAAGGAACTCCCTGTCACCTGGGAGGTCTGGCAGCGTGCCTGCTCCCTGCTCCTCCCAGCAGCCTGGCAGTATCTTCTGCTGTCAGCCTGGAGGCTTTTTTTGAACTACTGACTATTGCCCTTAAGATTAGGAGCAAACTGTTATCTTGAAAAGGCTTCCTTCTGGAAGCTGGTCCATACTTTGAATGCTGGATGCTGTTCTGGTCCTCACAGCTAAGAAGTGATCCATATAAATGGAGAAGGTTCAAAGAAGGGCAAAGATTATCAAAGGTTTCGGGGGGGCATGGTGACTCTGCAGGCTCAAAGAGCAACGAGTAGGGTGGGATATGACAGAGGTCTGCATCATCTCCATTTCCCAGGAAAGGGTGGGTAGGACCAGCACTTTAGCATCTTCCTGAACAAAAGAACAGAGGGCATCAAATTAAATTAGTTGGAAGCAGGTTAAAAAGAGAAGAAGATCTTCATGCCACAGCTTGTAAATCCAGGGAACTCCTTCTCAGGGGCTCAAGGGGTGGATAAGATAGCTTAGGACTTAACTAAGGAGAAATCATGGGGTTAGGAATATCACGCAGGTTAAAAATTACCAGCACCATAATGCTCATTGGAGGGAAGCATCATTAGCTTACCTTGTTCCTACTCTTCTCTGGACAGCTGCCTGTAACCACTCTTGGAAGCAGGATTTGCACCAGATGGACTCTTGGTCTGAAACCACTCTGCTGTTCCCACAGACCCTGCAGAAAGCCCACCCCCGGGCAAGAACAGTCACACCAGGGGCTGAATTCACCCATCTGCCTCCAGTGTCCAGCTCATGTCTCACCACTCCTGTCCCACCTGATGTTTGTGCCGCTCTGCTCCACAGACAGCTCCTGCATGGGACAGCAGGCAACTTACCACTCCCTGCTGCTTGTCACCTTTGCCGTCATGTTCTTGGAACAGCATCTTCCAACTCAGGATCGCCATTTCCACCTCAGGTACACCAGCATATATGTATACATTTATAAAATGTGTATTCTATTTATTCATTTAATATATTTATTATCATATATGCGTATGTATTTGATACACACAGTGTATATCTTATACCAGCTGTCATTTTGAAGAGTGTTCAGATGGAGTGAAAAGAGCCACGAGCACAACACAGTGCTGTTGCCACAGGTACAAGAAAATGTCAGAGTGTTTGTAGCTTGAGTCTGCAGGATTTTTCAGACAGGAAAGAAAATTTGAAAGCGTCACAAAGAGTGTAAACCCAAGAAATGAGGCGAGATGGGCAGACGGTTTTAGACAAAATTGTTACAAATTGAAAGTGGAAATTTCACGGAAATTGATTCTGTGACTAAAAAGTCCACAAACCTGGTTTGCAGGAGAAGCACTCGACTGGCAGATAAGCAATATATTCAGGACCCTCAGGTTCCTGGCTCTGTTTATAACAGCCAGA